GCCTGAGATCACTTATCAGACGGTTCATTGTAACAGAAGTTTCCACAAGGCATAGCTAGAGGGATACACAATCCCCATGGAGAGAGATATTGCACCCATAACCAGGGTGCTTCTGCTCACCATTGGCCAGAAGATAGCGTACAAGCTCCTCATGTCCACAGAGGCAAGCGTAATACCTGACAACAACAAGAGAAAGAAAATTAGTGATACAATAGGAAGCCAAATTCAGTGTTTGGGCACACCACAGCATGCAGAGCTCAGAACTGAGCATCCCTCATAGAAGATGACTCCTCACAGGAGTGACAAATTGCCACCTAACAGTATAGGCCCCAACAGGACACTAAGCAGGATCTGTTCCCAGCACTCCTTGTCACTGCTGTCCTGCAAGATCTCAAGGTTCCAATCTGGGCTCAGCATCTTTTGTTGCACCACCAGCTGCCAAATCCATCCTTGTTTTAACAGAGTTCATTCCATGGGTGCTAAGCAATTCCACTGAATGTCCAAAACCACTCCTTGCTCCTTCTGTTGTCAGTGTGAACGCTGCAGGCTATGACAGCAAGGGAAGAGCTATCACAGCTACAAGATGTACAGCTACAAGATGTACACCCCTCGAAGTCCTAGAAGCTTTGTTTTCTCTTTCACAACCTCAGCCTTTCAGTCTGCTCTTCCACAAGGACCTCAAGCTGGCCTGCAAACTAGGAGAATCCTGTAATGCACACTGCAGTAGGCAAATGTTACTCTACCTTTACTTCGGGAAGTTATTCCATACTCTAAATGCGTCGCAGGTATCTTTGGAGCTGGTATGTAGGGAGAGAAAAAGCTCACTCCACTCCTCAGCTCCAGCATTGGGATTCCTCACTACCTACTGTGTGCTCGCAGCCTTGCCAGACAGCCCCACAGTTACTTTGCACTCCACCAAGCAAAGCCTTCACCTGAAAAGGCACCTTAGAATGCCCTGGGCTTTCAGGGGTGAAAAGGCTGATCAAGCCAAACGCAGGCTGCCTAATCCAGGTAATGCAGTCACAAAATCACACCCCTCCCCACCCCGAGCGTTACTGCAGCAAGTGTCAGTCAGGTGGGGAGGGAAGGACACAGCAAAGAAGCAGAAAGTCACCACATCTCCCCAAAAGCAGAACCCAGGCTGTTCAGTAACAGTGCTGCTGGCAGCTCTTGCAGAGAGAGCCCAGGAGCTCTCTAAGTCCCTCCTGTTCCCAGCCCAGGCTGCAGCGGTGGACACTCACAGAGGGGTGCTGTCCCATTTATCACGGACGTTGATCTCCACATCTCGCTGTTCGAGGAGGTATCTGGTAGTAAAGGGAGAGCAGAGTTATTAAGGAGCTACTCAGTCACATCTCCTTTAAAAGCTGGAAAGTTGGGGCTGTTCAGCCTCGAGAAGGCTGCATGGAGACCTCATAGCAGCCTTCCAGGATCTGAAGGGGGCCTATAGGGATGCTGGGGAGGGACTCTTCAGTAGGGACTGTAGTGATAGGACAAGGGGTAATGGGTTCAAACTTAAACAGGGGAAGTTTAGATTGGATATAATGAAGAAGTTCTTTATGGTAAGGGTGGTGAGGCACTGGAGTGGGTTGCCCAGGGAGGTTGTGAATGCTCCATCCCTGGCAGTGTTCAAGGCCAGGTTGGGCAGAGCCTTGGGTGCCATGGTTTAGTGTGAGGTGTCCCTGCCCATGGCAGAGGGGTTGGAACTGGATGATCTTAAGGTCCTTTCCAACCCGAACCATTCTATGATTCTAACTCTGAGGTTTACAGGAACTCCTGAAAGTACAAGAGGATTTCAAGGGGCTGTCAGTTATGGCTGACGTTAAACCCTCAACCCAAAGAGCAGCGCTGTGCAGCTCCCTTCCATCTGAAGTGGTGGATGTCGGGAACGAGCAGAATCAAACCCATCTCCTGCCAACTCCTCACCGGGCAGCCACCACAAAAGAAGCCTGAGCACTTCAGCAGCACCTTCAGTCTCCAACAACCCCTCCAGCTGGGATGCTTACAACTCAGTGGCCAAGCCTATGAGGCCAATGCTAGGCTCCTACTGCCACAAGTAACACCACTGCAGACTGCTCTTAACTCCTGATATTGCCTTGTCCTGCACATTTAGGCTGTACCCAATGCTGCCGATGCTCCCTCTCAGGCACCTCTAGAAGCCAGCCTGTCCCCCACTACTGCAGCACCCACCTCTCCTAAGCACGGGTAAAAGTCCCTCTTGGCTTCCACAACCCCTCTCAAGCCGTTTGGTTTCCACTCACCCCCCCCCCCCCCATCGCTCTCCCCCTTCACCCCCTCCATTCTCCCCATCTCAGACTCCAGATCCCTCTGACCACGCTCCTCACCCCAAGCAGCTCAGCTCCTCACTCAGACCCGGGCGGTCGCTTTGTCCCCCTGCTTTGGCAGCGCTCCCGACTGTCACAAACACACACCCGGAGCACAGCAAGGGCTCAGTGGGCGCCCAGCTCCTCCGGGGTAAAGGATGGGACGCGTCTTTATGGGATAAATGCTCCCTCCCACCCGCCGGTACCTACCGGCACCAGAGACCCCGCCGGTTACCGGACAGGGAGCGCCGGGCGCGGCCCCCGGGGCGGCCAAAGGCCGTAACGCAACACGGCGGCGCCGGGACACCGGTGTCCCCCGGTGAGCCCAGCGGTTAAAGGCAGCGGAAGGACGCCGGGAACCAGGACCCAGGCCACCCCCTCCCTGTCCCCGTCCCGGCCCTGCTCACCGCACGCGGCTCACGTCCCCCTTCTTGCAGCTGGTGAACAGGTCGCTGGTGTCCATGGCCGGGGTAGGCCGCGGGGCGGCGGGGCCGCATTGACGCGGAGGGCGAAGGGAGCCGCGGGACCGGGACCGCACCGGGCAGCGGCGGCGACGGGGCGGAAGCGACGGCGGAGGTAAACACGGCGTAAGGGGCAGAGCGGCCCCGCGCAGAGACGTGCTAGCGGCGCGACGCACAGCGCCCCCATGCGGCTTGGAGGAGCAACCGTGGTCCAGAGGCTGGGACACGCGTGGCGCTGGGGAAGGGAGGAAGGGGGATCTGCTCTGGAATGAGCACGGGAGATGCTCTGCAACACACCTGAGGGAGGAATGGTCCAGAATGGGCGTGGGAGTGGGTTCTGGAACACACGGGATGGGGTCCAGCATCCATATGGGATGGCAGGGACCTGGTGGGGGCACAGGGATGCACACACATGTAGAGGCTCTGCTCTGTAGCAGGGAAGAGGGGTCCTGGGCTGGCCCTATGTGGATAGGGCAGAGAGCATCCACACCAGGATGTCACTCCAAAGGGCTGGGATGTCACTCCATGGACATAGGATGTCATCCCACAGGGAGAACAGCTTCCCACAGCCCATGGGTGAACGGAGGGACCCTGGCCAATACTGTGTTAACGGATAGGGCAGACATGAGCTCCCAAACAAAGCACGGTGCTGGAGCAGTGTTCAGCCACCCAGGAGGTGTGTTTTATTGCAAAGAAAACAAAACCACAACCCTGTCGCTCCCAGGGCAAGTGTTTGTGAGTGTTCCCCGGCAGCAATCCCGAGCAGTGGGCAGGGCCTGCAGATGTCTGGGTCCAGCAGGAATGAGGGTGGTGAGAAGGGCTGGGAGCCTGGTTGTCGGCTGGGATGAGCGCACAAGGCTCCCATGATGAGCACAGATGATGTGGATGTTGTCTCTGACTGTTTGAGCTGCCCCAGACCCTCTGTGAAGGAAATGTGCTCCTGCGTGGTTGCGGAGACTGGCTGGAGCGGGTGAGCTGCTGCTGCTGCTGGCAGTGGCTGCAGTGGGGTCCTGCTGTGATGCTCTACGGTCATACTGCAGTAATCCATATGATAACATACCCGTTTCACCCTGACTCCTTTGCCTGGAGGGATCCTTATGGTGTTCTGCAGGATGCAAAGCCCTAGCACATGATGGGCTCCACATTACTGGCGCTGTTCTAGATATGTGGTCAACAACATCCCATCTCCTTGCTCTGCATATGGGGATATCCTCACACAAACCACCACGCAGGAGCCTGGTGCAAGCCCCTCATCAATAAAGCAGGCAACAGTCCTGGGCGAGCCACAGGAATCAAATACCGAAAGAGAAAGAAAAAGTCCTTTTTGTCCATCTTTTCCGTCTCCATCTCCCAGCAGCCACCAGGTGTCAGTGCGATCTAACGTCTGGCCGATGGGACCACACGGTGATGTCCAAGAAGGAGCACGGCTCTTCAGGACTGGCTTTGCCGGGCACACCACTCCAAGTCCAGCTTTGACAGTTTTTGTTAAAAAGAAGTGTAACTACATGAAGGTGATAGAAAAGCTTCCCGTTACAAACGCTAAGACAAAGTTTCTCTTTAAATCCTCCCTGCGCAGAGCTGGAAACCCAAGCGCTGAACAACAGGAGGGAGCGGGCTCCACAGTGCTCTCCAGCCCGCAGGTCCAGGATAACCCGTCTCTGCAGGGCTGGGGGAGAGGGACAACAGTGCAATTGACTTAACAAGATCTGCCTAGTGCAAAAACATGGTACAGAGAAAGAAGGGAGGAAAAGTATCACCAGACTAAAGTGAAATGCTATTAACCAGGGATGTCCAGGGCTAAATGGAGATCATAGAGCCGGGTGCACCCTGTCAGAGACAGCAGAAAGTTGTTTGCAGCCTCGTGACAGCCACCCTTGGACACTCTCAAGACCACCTGGATGCTCTGGACACAGAAGAGAGCTCCACAGTCTCTGTAAAACTTGAGGCCATAAGAAGCTGGAAGAGCAAATGAGGAGAATCTGGTAGTTTAAGAATAAGCCCACAAAGCCCCCTTGGTTTCTTTGAAGTTTGAGCACTTTACACCAGATCAGGAGGTGCTGAGCCCAGCACTGCTTTATCAGCACCTTGTTGTCTCTCTGATTAGTAAAGTGGAGAGAAAACAGGGCAGCAAAGAAGCTCCTGGTGATGATGGGAACCAAGGAAGTGTTTTGTGGGTGAACTGATTCACATCTATCAGTGGCATTATTTTAACAGCCACTGGACATTAAAAACATCTTTAATGAGGATTATTTGACTTAGAAACACTGAGATGGTGACAGTGCCTAAGGGCCTCGTTATGCTAAGTGCTATACAAACTCAAATCTTAACTCCATGCTTTAATGAACTCCTTGTACCGTAACAACAACTCGCATTTAATCCTTTGAGACCCAAAGTGCCATCAAACACAGCCACTGAACCTGGGCAGCTCCACTGCACAGACCCATCCTGCTCAGCAGGAGCCATCAGGGTGGTCAGAGAAGGGCCATTGGGTGGATGTCCATGTCCATGGACTGTGCCCCTTTATCAACTGATGGGGGGGGAGGAGGGACTTCTCTGAGCATAGCTGCAACCAACAAGATCCAAAAGGAGCTGATGATCACCATCTCCTACGTAACACAGGGAAAAGGTGTGGAGGTGGGATAAAACCACTGGAAACTGGAATCTGGATAGGAAACTGGAATCTGGATAGGAAACCAAAGGCTATTGACACCTTTCATGAATCCCTAAGAGACCGATAGCAACGTGGTCCTCCATCAAGGTGATCTGTGATTCAGTCTGCATGCAAAGCGCTATGCAAAATGAACCAGCAGACTCTGTACCTTGACTTGAGGCACCCACACCAGGGGTGAACATGCTAAAAAGATCTGTACATACAGGGATAGATTTACAGGCTCGGCATCAGGCTGCACATCTGGGGTCTTTCTGTACAAAGGCTCCCTTAAAGACCAAAGGCAAAGCTGCACCTTGCAGTAAGCAAGCACACACATCACCTAACAGAGGAATACTGCTGCCTCTGACCAAAGCAAGTCCCTCAGTCCCTCAATGACAAGAGAAACAACGTTCTGGGATCTCAGGCTCCACAGTAGTTCTGAGTTTAGGCAGGGCTCAGAGAACAGTTATGCATTCACGTGCCTTTTATTACACACCTTCAGGGAGGAGCTGGAGCCTCAAAGTTGCCTGCGGCATTCCTGAGCAACCTTCACTGGGGACCTCTTAGATCTCATCTCATCCTAACTGGTTTTTACACTTGCTTAAATGCAGTGCTTTGAAAGATGCTACCCTGATTTACACAGGTGGGACAATAAACACCCCCCTAGGGCAGGATGCTGAGGAGGAAACAAAAGGACCAGAAAATTATCTGTGTCTGACTTGTTACTTCTCTCCCTGTCCAAAAAGCCCCAATAGTCTGCATTTACCTCAAAAAGACCCACTGAAACCAAACTACCCTGGAAAATAGGGGTGGACTCTAAAACTGAGACACACAGGGATACTTTGCTGCTCATTTCACAGGCTACTGCATGAAAGAGGCATTTAAATGACCTTTCCCAGCAACTCTCTGACCTAAAGCGGATCTCCAGCTAAGATGCTGCTCCATGGCACTGAATTCTCTGCAATCAAAGCAAGGGTAAAGTGCTCAAACTCTGCACACTCAGCCTGGAGCTGGGCAACTGGAACGGGGAATGGGGCTGTCTGTGGTGTGGGGCAGAAATGAGATAACAGAGGGATGTTTTCCCCAGTATCAAGAGCTCGCCTCACCAGCAGCTGAGTGCTAGGGCACTACAAAACCTCTTTTCACCTGTGGAAGGCAACCTCTGTCCAGGACCTCACCGAGTCTTGGCTCCCCTCCACCCGGAATGCAGAGGTTTTACTGCACCTGCAGGGACTGAGCATGATCTCAAGGTCAGGATCTGGCTGCCAGAACTCCAGCTGCACTCCCAAAGGGAATTTACTCTCAGAGCTGGACTCTTGCTGGCAGATTCCGCCTCTCCACCTTGCTTCTCAAGCCCAGCCACTCTCAGTCACTACCAGAGAGCTACAGTAAGTGCATTTAAAGGCGATGAAAGCATTGGTGCTACTGATAGGAACACACACACAGAGACCTACAAACCCACCCCTCCCGCTTCCCTCTGTTCAGGGATCCTCCTGGCTCCAAGCCTCAGATGCGGGCTCAGGACTTCCATTGGGAAAACTTCCCCAAAGACTTGACCTCTTCCAAGTCTTTAAGAAGTTCCTGAGAAGCCACCTGATCCCATGGTCCACCAGTCAAGATAGGAGAGAGACAAGTGTATGTGAGGGGGTGGTTCCCTCCCTTCCTGTTCTAGAGATGCGTGTCTTCCTCAAACACATCCACGTCCTCGCTCGCCTGCTTGTTGATGAGCACATCCCAGCTCTCCGGCCCATTGATGGTGTTCCCACCGTTCACGCTCGGCTTCTTCTCCTGCATTTCCGACTGGCTGTCACTGGCCACGTCCAAGGTGGGGTTGTCATGGCAGCCGTTCTCCACAAAGCGCAGCTCCTCGCCGTGTGACTGTGAGGAACACAAATGGAGACAAAGGGGGACAGGTCTTAATGCTGCTGAGGAGCACAATCACAACAGGCTCTGAGGGTCACCAGGGACCCTGCAGGGTGAGTGCAAAAAGGAACATTTACTCCTAGCACGGCCCTTGCAGTGGCAAAGAGCACAGCTTTGCATCTCTTACACTTGAATGGGCTTCCTTGCTGCTCCAGCAGTGTAGCCAGCTAAGTGGACAGGGGAAATCCACCTCCCTCAACTTCCCAATCCCCTCCATCCCAACAGCTAAGAGTTTAGCCACCTTCTCCACCCATCCAGTGCTCACCATGTTCTTCATCTTGGGCAGGCGTCGCTGCCAGCAGTTGTATATGAGCCCCAATACAATGATGATGGCACAGATGGAGCCGATGATCACCAGGACCACAAAAAGCTTCCCATAATCACTGCGTGTCTGGTTGGGGTGTGACTGGCAGCTCGTGGTGGTTGAGTAGTTCTGGATGCCAATCTGGAAGGAAGGAAGGAAGGAAGGGGTATAGTAAATCCCATGGAATCCTGTTCAGACTTTCCAGGGTCCAAGTACAGGACCACCACTGCGAGCAGAACTAAAAGCCAACACTGGGGAGTCAGGATGTACACTGGCTTCTGTAACTAGAAGGCACATAACTAAATAGAACACCATCTTCTGAAAGCTGACACATCAGCAAATGACAGTAGGCATAATCTTACCTTGACCACCTACACAAGGATCACACCTGTGTGCAAGACAAAGAGGCCTCCATAGGGGCACAGTGGCAAATCACACCTTGCACCAACACAAATCCTTCCTGGACACTTCCAGCTGCTGATACTTTGGTTACCCAGTTTCTACGGGGTTGGCTTTTTGCACCTTCTCTGGTGGAAGCCAAGCAATACACACCAAGCACTTCATTTGCTTTGCATAACTGCATCAGTTTGATAGGTCAGGTGAAAACCTGGGAGCAAACAGCCAGCAAGGGGCTAAAACCAGTAGAATTACTCCAACAGTGTAACAAATCCAAGCAGAATAACCCCTTGGTGCCTACATGTCCCTAAGACTTAAGAGTCAAAGGCAGAGATCATGGGGCTAATTTGACCTCATCTCCATCCTCTTCCAAGCCACCCAGGGTTAGAAGGGAATACATGAGGGCTAGAAGCAGCTGGCAGAGGAGCCTGGCATCCCTCACCTCTGCTGCTCTGCTGCCCTTGTGTAGACTGTTATCTAAAGGAGTGAAATGCAGACCCTGGCACTGCAGGAAGAAGGTGTATGAACATGTCTCATCTAGTTCAGGCACCTCTCCCACTTCTTCAGCAAAGCCTGAGAGCAGCCAGTGCATGTATATCAGCCATAGGGTGAGCAGGGCCCAATCTGGGGCTCTGCAGCACCCACATTGCCACTGGCAATAGCACAGAAGGGATGAGACCAAGTATCCCAACAAAACAAATGTGTGAAAAGCAGCTTCACAGCCAAGCCAGAAAAGCAAGGAGGGAATAACCCATAGTTACTCTTTTAATGGGAGCAGACATTTGATGGCCTGGCAGCTCCCAGAGAGGGGAGAAGGGAGTTTGCCAAGTGTCTGACTCATCTGTTTGCCTGCACTCGGTTAGGCTGAGATATGCTCCCAGCTTTCAAGTTGCTTATTTTAATTGTATAGCTAGTCTTAACAAATGGAGGCAGGCAGACAGGCTCTTACCTCCGCTAAGCTCCTCTTAACATCCCCCAGTGCCATGAGAACATCTTTTGTAGGGATGACACCTGTGAAGAAGGAAAGGAAGAGATCAGCGCTGCTCAGCTCCGGGTAGTTCAGATACACCCATCAGTCTGAAATCCCCAGCAGGATGGAGGTCTTGCAGGCTCCTTCTTGCAGCACTTACCCTGCTCCCCTGCCAGTGTCATCAGCAAGTGCTTGTCGTTCTCGTTGGGTTTGCTCAGAGAGATGAGCCAGCGGTCCTGCAGTCCATCCGCCTGTCTGGAGAAGGCATCCTCCACCAGCGCCAGCAGCTGGGGACCCTTCTCCAGCCGAAACTCCTCCTGCCGCAGGAAAGGCACCTTGGTGACCACACGGTGGGGATGGGGCAGAAGCAGCACCACAGGGCTGGCACAACTGCATGGCCAAAAGCAATGCTAAACCTGGTCCAGCGCTCCCTTGCTCATCCCAGGGTGGACCCACACACATCTCCTGATGCATCAGCCCTTCTCCTCAGCTCCTGTGGTCTTCATACACCCCACACAGTGCCAAGCCCAGGTCCCCTGGCTCACTGGGGTGCTGAGATGCTGCTATGGTAAGAAGGATGCAGGGGGTGCCGCTCAGCCCCACAAAATGCTCCAGCCACACCTCGGCTGCTCCTTTGCTGCTTTCCTGCTCCCGGGTTTCTATTCCTGTCTCCGGTTGCCATGGCAACATGAGGGCCACGCAGCTGATTAATAAAATGGAGAGCTCCCGTTGCCATGGCGATCCGAAGCGCTCAGGGCAGGCACAGGCCTGTGCCCAAAATGGCCTAATTGGAACAGACACCAATGACTGGGGCCTGAATCACAGTGCCCTCACCTCACCGGGCTGTGGTTTGGGCATGGAGCAAGAGGATGCAGCACCGGGCTGCCAGGTCCTGGCTCTGCTCTGGGCCATGCAGAGGAGGGGGAGCAGCTCAGCCCAAGAGCAGGAGGAGGACAGAAGTGAGATGTGATGGGCAAAGCTGAGGTTGCAGAGCACTGCTAAATTGTCCATGGTGGAGAAACGGGAGCTCAAAGGAGCCTGAATGCACATAAGGCAATGCGGAGGTCACCTCCCAGTGCGTAGCCAGGCACCACTGCTGGGTCATATCCTGCAGTCCTCACTTGGGCAAAATGCCCAGGGATATGGAGTGGGAGATGTGCCCAGAGACTGAAGTGACTCCCTTGCCCAGAGCCCATTAGGAAGATAAATGGGCTGCCAGTTTAACCCAGTGATACAGACATCATCCCTGCAGGAGGCAAGAACCTGGCACTATGAAGTGTGTTAAAGCCCAAGGTGCAACCCTCTGGAAGGGGCTAAGCATCCTCCTGGTCCCTCTGCTTTTCAGTGGGACTCAGTACTGCAACAGATCATCATCAAAACATAGGAAACATGCAACAGAGAAATGTTCCTCTGATGGCTCAGAGGAATAGTGACTCCCTATTCCTGTATGACCCATGGCATCAGAACAGGAAACGTGAGGAATCCCCTTTAACTCGAATTATAGCACCTGCAATGTAGGTTCTCCCTTTGCAACCCTGGAAATCCAACCACCACAGGGCTCAGGTACGGAAACCAGGAAACAGAAAGGACAAGCAGAGGAGTGGTGAGTTGCCCAAACTGAGCAAGTTACCATGGGTAGGAAACAAACTGCATCAACACCATCAGAAAGGAGAAGAGCTTGGTTCCAGTTTCATGAATGTGGTAATGGGATGCAGGGAACAAAGTGATGTTCATGTTAAATACATGTGTTAACACGTGTCCCTTTGAATAAAGGGGAGGACAGCACAAACCTTTGGCAGGGAAATCTGTTTTGAAACATGAAATCAAGTAAGAAAACCAGTCCAGCCCTGCCTATCCCTGGCAATGTCTTCTTTCAGCAAGGATTCAATAGTGAAGGCATCATTTGGCTGAGACGTCTGCACATCTGCTTGCCAGTTCTGCCACTCCACTGCTTTAACCAACACAAGGGCAAGGGACTATGGGAAGGAAGGTACCACACATGACAAAACTAACTTGCATTAATTAACCACAGAGGTGGGAGAAAGAGCAGTGGGGACTGGAGATGGAGGAAATGGGGCAGCAGGACTTCGGTTTTCAATCCGAGTTGCAATTGTGAACTGTAGCAGAGACACTTAGAACTCTTCAAACTGGTTTGCTTAAGTCAGGAAGAAAGAGACTGACTTTTCATCTCCCCTCGAAGCAGTCAGCATCCTGCAGGGTGTACAGGAACTGCCCTGCAGGAACCACAGCAAAGGAGCTGCAGAAAGCAGGAGCACAGACACACGAGGCCATAGTTCCCCAATGAAACATTCCAGTCTCAGGCTGTCAGGCTCATAATCATTGCCTAGAATTATGAAGGGCACCTTGACCCCAAGCCCCTCACAACAGGTTTTTGAGTGCCTGATAAAAGGCCCAGCAGAGGTGAACGAGCCCCTTTAAAAGGGACCCACAAGGGGCTCTGGGCTCATGAATTAACCGTGGCTTTATGGGGATGGATGGACAGGCAGTGGATCAGCAGAGCGTGGCTGGTGAACAGACCCAGATAAGACACAGATAACAGGGTGGGGAGAAGAGGCACTTAAGGGAGATTTAGTGAAAGCTACTTGACACCAAACCATTCACAGTGCAAATGGGGAGTCCCCATTCCTCTGAGCCATCGGAGGACATTAGTACATCTTGGAAGGAAGAGGAAGGGAGGAGGGAAGAAGAATCGCACTTCAGTCCCATCAGCAAGAGGTGCAATGTTAAAAGCCCTCGTGACGATCCAGGTACTGATGGCAGAGACTAGCAGCCACAAGGGAGTCAAAACTCCAGTATGAGACTGACATGTGCTAGACTGAGCAAAATCATCACTCTCCACCCACCCTTTTCCCTTCTGAAGAACAGGAATATTTCTGTCCTCCTCCCCTTCTCTCCACAGCCCCTACAGGGAAGCTGAGATTTAGTGATTTAAAATGTTTTGTAGTGAAAGCAGACAGCAAGAGCTGTGCCTGCCTCCACGTCCCTAAGCCCTAATCTCCCCTGTGCCATTGAATCTCTTTGGGCTGACTTACACAGTCGATGTTATCTGACATGTTCAGGATGATGTAGTTCTTCCCCGCAAGGTTGCTCCAGTCTTTACAGATCACCTGGAGAGACAAGACAAAGAGCTGGGTTTGGGCAGAGAATGCAGCTCTCCTGCTGAAACAAGGGACAGGGCCAAGGGGCTGTGATGTACCCCCTAGAACCACTTCTCAAAGGGTGTAACTGTCCTTTAACTCTGTACTGAGGAGGAATCACCATTTCAGTGCTGGCACACAGGGCAGGGACAAGGTTACTATGCCAGCTTGCCATAGCTCAGCTTTCCTTCCACCTCTAGACTGCAGGAGGACTCACTCAGCAGAAAGCTGTCCAGCCTGCAGCCTCATTCCATACGTGATCAGCACTGAACATAAAACCCTCTCTAGTCCTTAAACTGGGGGAGACAGGGCAGCACTCTTCAGGCAGGACAGGATGCACAAAGGGACTAAGTCACCTGCTCATGCTCCTGGGTACTGAGGGGCAGAAAGCAGTATTAAAAGCATTCCCTGGTACTTTCTCAGAGCCAGCTCCTGCTGTGTGTCCATCCTCAACCAGCTGCCAGGTTGCTGTATCCAGGCACTGCAGCTCACCTCACACCTCCTCTCCCCCAGGCTCTCCTAGCCCAGCATCCTCACAGATTGCTGTACCCTGCTCTGTAGCTGGTCCCTGCAGGCAGCACCAGCAAAAATAGCACTTGCTTCTCACTCCCTTTCCAGAAATCCTTAGGGCCATTTTTGTCCTGACACTTCCAATAATGCAGGCTGAGGAAACAAGGAGCTTTCGCTGCCGTGCATGCCCCAGAGGGCAGGTGTTTATTAGAAGCAGGATTCAGTTCAGCAGTTTGCTTGGGAGGAGCAGGAGGATGGATACCCCAAACTGTGGAAAATTCACCCCAAAACCCAGTTTTGGCAGGGTGAACAGAAGCAGCTACATCCACCAGCCAGACTTAGGGATATGGGTATGGTTTAAGGGGTTAAACACCCCCGAAAAAGGGATGCTCCCAACTATCCTCACTAAACCTCACACCCACTCCCTGCTCCCAGTGTTACCTGTGCTGAGTCCCAGGGCAGCTCTGTAGGCAGCATGGCCATGCGGGAGTCCCCAGCCTGTGGTGCCAAGCTCCTCTCTGCTGCTGAAGTTTCAGTGGCTGGCTCGGTGTCATTCCAAATGGGATCCAGCACAGCATCATCAACCCTGTCCCATGGAGATGCAGATGAAGTGTGGTGCTGCTCACTCCCAGGTAAAGTCTGGGTGCGCAGGGAGCTGCCTGCAGGAGAGGGTGTCCCCACAAGTGTTTCCACTGTCTGCTCCGCTTCAGTTAGCACCGTGGGCTTCAGCAGCTCCCACCCCACTGTGTGCTCTGAGACCTCCTCTCTGGATGAAAGCTCTTCCCCATCATCCTCCACTGTGGCCTCTGCAAGCTCTGCTCCTGTGGTAGTCACAGTCAGCTCCGAGTCTGCTCCTCCAACAGCCCACGTGTCCCCAGCTGTCACCTCAAAGGACTCTTCTGAATCACTGGGAGACCCTGCAGCAACAGTAGGTGAAAACACAGAGGACACGGGCAGAAGACCTGGTCCCATGCTACTGCCCAGGTCTAAGCCTGCGGAAACAGAATCCTCCTCTTGCTCTCCTGTGGCTGCCTCAGTCACAATTCCTGGCCTGGCAGAGACTGTGGAAAAGAGAAGGGAGAAGGAGTCCTCTTGGCCCACGGGTTCAGCAGATGTAACCTCTGGCCCGGAGGTCTGGAAGCTCTCCACTCCTCCTCTGGGGTGCTCTATGGGGAGCAGCCCCTCTTCCTCCTCCAGCGTGCTCGAGAAAGGCGTGCGCGAGTCAGGATCAACCAGCTCTGCCGATGGCTGCACAGTGGCTGGTGCCCAGTTGTCCTTCTCCCGTGTCCTGTTCCCTTTCTGCCCAGCCTTCCGAGAGGGAGTAGGGAAGTTGTAATCTAAAATGAGACCCAAAGGACTTCATGTCACATCCCAAGTAGCCATGAACCCAGAAAGGCAGAGAGCTGGCCCCATTGTATGTGTCCAGCCACAGATGGGGTTCAAAGGCAGTGACCCTCTACGAACAGGTAGCCTGACACAAAAAAGAACAATCCCTCCTGCACATCCCAGTGAACCCACTCTCCCTAGGGATAACCCACGTGTTCATTCTCCCAACTCCTTTCTGTCCTCAGGCGTTTTCAGAGACAATAATAAGTAACAGCTTTGACATGTGGCATGTTTAAGGTGAGGTTCTGAGTGTCAGGAATGAGGCTGGGACCCAGAGACTCATTGCAGATGGGATTTAGAAAGCTATGGGGTGGTAGCAGGAGTCAGCTACTAGCTAAAGGGGAAACACTAGGGAAGAGAAACAAAAGCACAACAAACCAAATCCTCCTCCCTGGCCCCAGAACCTGCATCACCCTGGGCATCTTTGAAATGCCACAAACTCCTCCCAGCCACACACGAGAGCATCTATGCCATGATGCTCAAAGGGGGACAGCTCAGAACTGCCCATGGAGCCATGGCACTGTCCCAGAATCTCCAGTCTAGCAGGGGCAGCCCAGATGAGCGCAGTGGGCAGCTTCAGTCACCCCATCCCCTTGGGAGGCTGGCTCACCCATCTGAAATTCCACACCTCCACCTCACCTCTCTGCCGTCACAGCCTTAGCTCACCCCTCAGTGCTTCCCACCAGCAGTGATATTGCTCATACTGCAGCATCCAAGTGGCTTCGCCTCCCCCAATCCCCATCCCCAGCTTTTCCCTTCCAACCTCTCTTACAAAGACCCTCAGGCTCTTCTCCAAAGGAAGCATCTTGCACAGCCCTCCACATCCTGCCCTTTGCATCTCCCGCAGGGCCCAGGGCTGGGTCACACAAATGCGTTCCCTTTGTCTGGGGAGATGATTTGCCCTAGGAGAGGTGAACACCAGCTTCAAACCCCTGCAGGAGCAGGCCATGTCCTGCTTACCCCAGAATCAATACAGAACATCCCTGACACCAGATGGGCTGAGTCCTGGCTCTGCACCAGAGCAGATTCCCAGCCAGCCGTTAATTCAGCCCATTTCTGCTGCTCCTCCATTCAGAAAAGCTGCTCTCAGCTGCTGCCCTCCAAGGTTCCCTCTGTTTGCACTATTGGCAACTGGGACAGCGCAGAAGAAGGGTGACCCTCCCCAGTTTTAGTCCACACAACCTGACCATAAGGTCTTGATTGGATTAAACTGGAAGATCATGTTATCCAGTGATTGAATTACTGATAACTACAAGGCACTGTAATAAAGACATGAACACTCCTGGGCTCCCCCCCCAGCTCAGTAGCATCATTCCTCCTGAAGCACATGCTAACCTGCAGAAGGGTGAGGTGCTCTGTAACACAGCCAGCTCTGAGGCAGACTCTGCTCACTGTTTTGCAGTACAGAGCAGGAAGGCTTACTGCAAAGAGATGTATCCCATTGGATTTACTCTGCAGGGGCATTTCCAAGAGGCAAAATGCAATTACTGGTGCTAGAATTGAGCCGGCCTGGGCTAATATCCTCATCTTCCAGAACTAGGAGAAGGGACTGTCAGTGACTCCAAGACAGGTCCACACACAAGGGAGATCACAGTTAAGAGAGACCCCATGGTAGCAAAGTGGTTAGGTCTTCTCACGCTTGGAATTGGCTTCAGGTAGAGACCAGGCACCCAAACAGAGCCAGGCAGGGCTGGCTGCAACAGAGTAAGACAGAGAAACCCTTTGCCACAGGTCAGCCTCTGCCAGCATCATCTTGGTCGAGGTGGCTCACCCCAGGATTGATCATTTGAGGTGTGAGTGTGTACTAAACCAAGGCACAAACAAGAGGCATCCAGGAGCTGAGCTGGGGCAGGCAGCTGCTCAGCACTAAGCTCCTTATGCAGACAGCCTTTACCAGGTGCTTCATTTCATTAGTGCTCTGGCTGAAGATGCTATTAAGAACACCAGATTTGCTGTCAGTCTGGATAAAGAGGCAGCAGATTTCAGTAAGGGTGAGAGATGCTGGGATGGCTCTGGCCAGAAGCAAGCAATTCCTCATAGAAAGAAGGGAATCTCACTGTATCAGAGTTAGGGATGGAAGAGATTTTATCCCTTTAGATGGTGAGAAAACTTTGAATGCATCCTTCTAACTTGTCTGACCTGCAACCCCTCAACTGTGCTCTGCTGGGAACCCCTTCTGCTAATTACTATGAATAATTAAAAGATTACAATTCCTCCTCCCAAATCACCACATGCCATCCCAGTGAATCACCAATCTGTGATACCAGATTTGATAGCTCCAGCACAGACAAGCCTTGGTCTTCAAGGGCAGAGCTTTGGAGCTAGAGGAGCAGACCCTGGCTGTAACAAACCGAGCTCTGTGCCAGCCCAGCACATGGCAAGATGTGATGCTGCACTCCAGTCCTTGGAGATTCAGTTTTGGGGCAAGAGAGGAGAGAGACTGAGTGCCTTCATTCATAAGCCTTACATCAGCTTTTGGGAGCCCTCCCTTCCCAGCAGTTAGTGATTAGGATGCCCTAATCTAGAGCCTTCACTGGAAAGGGAACACATGGGGCACTGTGTTCTGAGCCACAGCAGAGCACAAAGAAGGGCAAACCAAGGAGCTCCCCAGGATGGATATGCCACCATATAATTCTTTCACTAAAAATCAGGGCCCTGCAGCCCTCATGGCACCCACCTTCTAGCCCTAAATCTAGAAGAGATGTTGCATCTGTTGCTCAGGAAATCCAGTGTGACAGAAGGGAACACGGGGATTGGAAGCCTCCAGGCAAAACAAGATGGGGAAGGTGGGAAGAAGAGAAAGGAGGACAAGAAGGGAGATGCAAGGTCCTGCAGGTCCTCTCTGTCCTAAGGGTTAATTTGTGGCTCAGGCCAGTGTGATACCACAGCTGAATCAAAGCAGCCAAACCCAAACAACACCCTGGGAAGCTCCTGAAGGCAGTGGGATGCAGAAGCAGCAGCTTCACAGCTCCGCTGGCTTGCCTCTTGGCTGCAGTATGAATCACATGCTGCTTCTTTCCATAAGGATATGCATCCCCATTCCCACCAGAGCTAATCCATCTCTCCCAGATGCAGCCCCACTGGGTAGCAGCTGTGCACGGGTGAGCACACATGCATTTCTGTGCACTCCCAGACAGAGCGACATCAGTCTCAGGCTCCTTCCCAGGCTGGTGTCACTGGTGTCAATCCAGAATGACTGCTCCATAGCATAAACCAGCAGAAGCAGGTTATTCAGAGGGAGCAGAGCCCCAGGCTGAGCTGTGCTCTGCCACTGGGGTTTGTTGTCTCTAGCAGCTGGCCCCTGATGCCACATGAGCTCCTGAAGTGTTATTAAAGGATATTCGAGTGCAATTAAAGCCCCAGAGCAGCTGCAGACTGCTATTAGCTGTTACCTTCTGCAGCCCCAGGGTCACACAAAGGCAGAGGGGTCCCCTCATGGACTGCAGAAGGACGTTACAGTGGTAAAATAAAGGTGACTCATAGAAAGAGGGGAGACTGAGCTGAGCTCTTAGGCAGAAGCTCTTCCCTGTGAGGGTGCTGAGGCGCTGGCACAGGGTGCCCAGAGAAGCTGTGGCTGCCCCATCCCTGGCAGTGCTCAAGGCCAGGTTGGACACAGGGGCTTGGAGCAAGCTGCTCCAGTGGAAGGGGTCCCTGCCCGTGGCAGGGGTTGGAGCTGGAGGAGCTTTAAGGTCCCTTCCAACACAAACCATTCCATGACTCTATGAAATCTCAGGAGATCTGGCCTAACACCACCAATTCCAGGCACCAAACACAGAAAGGAGCCAGCACAGGTCTCCTTTCACAGCAGGGAATTTTCTCTCTCCAGTACTATCACAATCCTGCTTTGTGCCTTAATTGATACAGGGGCTCAAATCTGTGCCTGGGACAGAGCTACCAACTCTGCCAGACTACAGTGTTATCCAGAGAAATTCCATGACAGGAAAACTTACACCATGAGCTTTTCTTTCTTAAACAGCAGCTGCTTGAAACTGTTTAATGGATTTATACATTGAAAATAACCCAACAGATGTCATCACCCAGCTCCACCAGGCATCGCATGGAATCTGCCACACACGCAGCACGTTGCGTGCACCTCTCGTGCAGGAGAAGGCTGTCCAATTGAAGGATGCTATTGCAATATCCTTCGTTGTAAAATGACACACAGCAGGTTTCTAATTAAATTTTAAGGAGAAATGTGCTCCCAGCTCTTAAATAATTCAAACTGTTCTATTAAGCATGGCTCTGAAACATCACCGAGACACGAGCTCCGGCCACAGCAATGGCCAGGGGTAAAGGCAGTGCTGGGAAGCCCAGCAGTGGTGAGCTGGGCACTGCATAGGGTATGTGTAGAGGACAGCTGAAAGAGCACATCTGCTCATGGAGGAAAGCACTGCAGGCGAGGACGGAAGCAGAGGGGAGCGTGTTGTGCATGCAGATGGGAAGAGGCACGTGCAAGAGGCGAGGCTGCTTCGGGCTCCTCTCAATGCACAAGCACACGCTGGCCTCCAAGTCACGTCCAGGCCTGAGCACACGCAGGTGCCCACTGGCACACAAATAACAGTGCTGCTGAGCACGCTGCCTGTGCCCCAGAGGGGCTAAACCACAGCACAGCCCAAGGATGCGCTAGTAGGAGCATTGCAGCATCCAACCCAGCAGCAGCACAGCTCCCCATGGCCAGGACCATAAGTGCCCCATGAGCCACAGGGCAGTAAGAGCACAGCCAGATGAGTTCAGCACCAGCGTTGGTGAGCAAAGGGCTTTGAATGGCCCCTGCCCTGCACAGCGTGTCCTGTGTCTCAGCTGGCAGCCAGAGGCACAGCCCTCAGTGAGGTCTTCCTTAAGGTCACAGAAACATGAGCAAAGATCAAACAAGGCTCATGCTTTCTGACTGCAGACCTCAGTCGGACCTGCTGCAGGGAGGCAGCGATGCCAGGTAAGGGAGGAGGGATAAGGCTGGAGCCTGGCCCCTGCCCCACATGACACTTAAGAGCGGGAGCACTGTGAAATAATCTCCTAAGCTACTGGAAACCCTGCAATGCTCCTCCTCCTTGCTCCCATCCCTCCCCCTGAGAGCAGTGAGGGGTGTGGGGGCCTCAAGGGTCTCAAAAAACAGCCCACATTGGCAAGCAAGCGCAGATGCTAACACAGCTCATTTTGGCCATGAGTCCCCTCAGGAAGAAAGCAGGACAGGGGTGGCAACAGGATAAGGGACAAACCTGCTGTCTTCTCTAAGGTCAAATCCCCACTGAAGTCATGGAGTGAGGAAAGCTGAGTTTAACCAAGGGAAGACAGCTCTGACTCAAACCCCAAGATGGCCTTGATCTTGAGACCTTTAGGCTGCGCTTAACTGACAGCAACAGAAAGAAGGGAGTGAGAAGAGAACGTAAAAGGGGGAAGGAGAGAAAGAAGGGCATGAGGCAATGGGAAGCTAGGTGGAGGCAATACTTCTCCCAGCCCATAGGAGCTCAGGAATAAAGGCTCAACTGTAACTTGGTTTCTAAAGCCTGTGCTTGCTCAGGGTTCACTGGGGACACATCAGGCACTGAGGTGAGAAAATAGAGCTGACGTTTAATCTCAGGCCCTCTTAGCGAGAGTTGTGTCAAAGCAGGAGCACGGATCCCTGCACCCTTCCACCTCCTCGAACCCCACAGCACAGGGAGGAGGAATGGGTTCAAAACAACCTACCTGTTGTGGGTCCTAAATCCAGGCTGGAGTCATTGAGCTCCCCACCATCTTCCCAGAAGTACTGTGGGGGCTGTAGGATCTTGGACTCCTCATTCTCCTCACTGGCAAAGCCCGATCCCGGGGCAGCGTGCAGAGAGACAGGGGTAAGATCAGGCTCCTGGCTGGCTCGTTCATGGGAATTCATGGCTTCCATGTGGGGCAGCACAGCAAACTCCAGCAGGGATGTCGACGTGAGGCCATCGGCGGTTGTCTCCTCCGAGGAGGCAAGGCAGAGGTGCAAGGTCCCTGTACAATGAGTAAACCCATATCAGAAACAGGAGTGATACCCACTGTGCTTGTCTTCTGTTCCTGCCAAGCCAAGCTGCTGTGCCCAGCCTGCAGGCACCCTGCCCTGCAGATGGGCTGTGCTCTGAGCTGATGGGGAAAACTGGGGTATTTTGGGAAACATCCACAACCATGAAGAGTGTTCACATCCAGCAGGAGCTGGTGCCAGAAGCCATCCAGCCCAGGGCACCTCTCTTTAATGGTACAAAGAAGGTTCACCCTCCCTAACGCTTTCTGCCTCTTTGGAAGCACCACGGGGTTGTTCAACACCATCCTGGAGAGGAGGTGGAATGTCTGCTCCTTAAACCAGGAAATCCTGGCACTGTGAAGTCAGTGACAGTTTCCTACTTGACTGCCACCCAGGCATGACTTCACCCTGGTGCTCCTGACCCGCAGCTATGTTATATGCAGGGGGACTGATGTAAAACAGAATTACTCACATCACCAATATTAATCATGTTTCATACCAGCAGGCTGGAAATCTATTAAAGTCATTGAGTTCAACTGCATTTTGCATTCACAGGTTTTGCTATCATAAGGAAGGGCTGTCACAGGTAAGGAGTCAGATGCCGCCAGCAGCAGCCAGCGACCGAACACCGAGCAGGGAGGCAAGCTGCATTTCACATTCCTCCTGCACCAATTACAGCCTTGTTATCTCCATTTGATCTATTAGAAGGTTTGACTGACACCTCCCGAGTCCTAGATGAGACTTTAACTGTGATTTGTGTCAAGGTACATTCACATGCATATTGAACTTCAATCAAAAAGCAAGAGAACGGCACCTGGAACTTGGCTTTCTTCAATTCATAAATACCATGACAAATACAGAGACAGAAGGGAAAAAATGAGATTACCAAAACATGCTTTCCATTTAAAACAGTTCTGTTAAGCAAGCAAAGTATCTCATTTGGGTGAACTGCACCAATTGCTTCCCAGCCCTCTGTTCTTGAGCACATTAAAGCTTGAAGATCTCATCCTCTCTCAGCTGATTTTTATTCATAGATCAGAAGGAAAGGACAAGTTTTCCTGCTTCCTCAGCTCATCCTGTGCTTCCCAGCTCTTAATGAACTAGTCACTGAACTGAACTAATTGAATAAGCTGAAATGAAGGCTAATTTGGTATTTTTCTTTGAGAACTGATTTGCTAGACAAGAGAAAAGCAGCAGATCTATTCCAGCTGTTCTTCAGTACAGGGTACAGTGCCTCATATTCAACTACAGGAGAGGCAGGAACAGGCACCAGTGAGCAGGAAAACTGAGACAACAAACAGTAAGGCATTGGCTGTATGAAAACATGAGAGGCTTGAGCTAAAGGGAGGCCATTAGTGGAATTCCTCAAGGTCTCTCCTTGGAGCTGCTGGTCTTTAATATTTCCCTAAGTGTCCTTGGAACAACAACTAAGAACATCACAATGAAATCAGCCAAGGACACAAAGCAAGGAGACTCCTCCCGGCACAGGAGGACCACAGGACCAGCTAATGATGATCCCGAGGACAGTAATAACACAAATAGTCTGAAAAGAAATAGATAGAAGTCGCCACCTCGAGAAGCAGCACCAAACATCCCCAAAACATCCATTAGAAATGCCTCAAGAGGAGAAATTCCCGCGTGAGGAACATCACTGCGGCATCACTGGAATGCAGGTGTGGAACTGCTTGCACAGTCCCTAGGTATTAGAAATAGATTTGCCAAAGCACTGCTGAGACATCACCTGGACGCTGCATGCAGATCTGGAGCCACGTGGCCTCAAGTGATTTAAGCAGAGCTGAACTGCCTCCAGGCAAGGGCGCAGGCCAGGCAACCTCCTGGGGCTCCTCCCCATCACTGCATCCCACAGCTCCACATCCCAGAAGGATCAATCCAGATCAGGGCAAGTGCCAAGATGAGCTATGGGGCAGCAGCAGAGGGGCTGACCCTGGTGCGTTCATCAACAACACTGGCTTGTAGCCCAAAAAGCTTGGGAGTTGCTATTTACTTGATTCCCAAACCTGTCCTGGGAATGCTGGCACCTGGAAATGCATTTCTCGAGCTTTCTGCCTGCTCTGACCCTCTCCACCTTTCTCCACTGTTCTCTCAACAGAGCACAATCCAATATTGGTTACTCTTCCCCATACACTCCTGGGCCAGGCTTCAGCACGTCTCCAGCTCATTTATTGTGTTCTATTGATCCAAGGCCAGCGCAGCCACAGACAGGGAATAGCAACAGAGGCAGAGTATCGAAGGGGAAGGATGGTTCTGCAGCATCATGGAGCCAACCAAAGCACCCCAGGGATGGAACAGCACACAGAGAAGACCAGAGCTCAAAACACGAGGTCAAAATGAGTTCCTTGTGCACAAGCACAGCATGGACAGGGCAGTCCCCACACCGACCCAGTGGCGCTCACCCAGCTCCAACGTGATGGTGCCTACGCTGCCACAGCAGACCTCTTGTGGCGTGTGAACCTGGGCACCCAGAGCTCATCCCCTCCATGCGGGAAGCTCGGATCCTGGGAGTCTGTTTACCCCCCTTTAACTCTCAAGTGTTTACCCAGTTAAACCCCCTAAGCTGCATTATCTTGTTTACTGGGATGCTCTCCTCAGCCCAAGATAAAGCTACACCACCTCATCCCTAAGAATGAGTCATTAATAGACACAGACTCAGCAAGCTAGGTTTCTCCTAGGGTGGATCTGGAGTAGGAAAATGCCTTGGGACCTGACCCACAGGCACAGGATGCTGAGAATGGCCTGGAGAAACCCTCTGTGCCAGCAGCACCAGCCTGAATGCCATAGGGCTAACAGCACTAGTGTACAAATCAGAACCTCTCTGGACAGCATCCTGAAACCACTTTTTGCACCAGCAGCAAGAATTTAAAGGCTTGAGGTGCCAAACAGCAAAGCCAAGGTTTGCCACCGTCCCCCTCTCTTCCAAGCATCTCATAAAGGAGCTCAACACAGCTGTCAACGGGCAAAGAAAGAATGCAAGCAGGAGCTGAGCTGAGCGGGAGGCAGGGAGCACAGCTGAGAGGGGAAATGTAATGCCCAAGACATGGGTGGCTGGCTCTTTTCCTCCTAGGGTGAGGACCGGGGATTAGTCCCTGTCTACCAGCCATCAGTCTCCCAGTTTCGTATTCCAAAAGGCAGATCAAGCCATAGGAATAAAGCAGCACCAGAATAAAGCCCTGCAAGTGTAGATGGGAGGGAGCAGGGAACGGAGCCAGGGCTTGCCAGCTGCTTCAATGGGGCGTTTGTCTCTCATTTCTATTTTTGCGGCACCTCTGCGTAACCTGGAGGAGATGAGGCTCCGCATGCTAAAGAGGGAGCCAGCCTTGGGGCTGAGCACGGGAGGAAAAGCCTCCCCGGAGCACACACAGCAGGGGGAGAAAGGAGGGAAAGTGGGAGAGGCAGGTGGAGGGAACAAAGGCAGAGAGAGAGCATCCAAACCAGCTCTGGTGCTGGCTGCGAGCCCTCCAGCTGCGCGCACCCACAAAGACGACACGTGGAGCCAACGCTGACCTTGCAGAAGATGCTTCCCTGATGTAAGGAGCAGAACAAGGTGGTTTCCACAGGGAATAACAGCGCAGTGTTACCTTTCCAAGGCCACTGGACAAGAGCCAGCCAGGAGCGTGCAGATGAACCGGGTTTGCTAGTGCTGCCCCCATGGGCCCCTCAGGAAACAGCTCCAAGGTGAAGTGGAGATGCTCACCCTGTCCAGCTCAGCGCAGTTCAGTGCAGTGGTCCCAGGCGAGGCAGATGGAGGAGTCTTGCTCAGCAGCATGAAAAGGATGCAATAGAATCTGAGGGAAGCACATCTGCCAGTGCTGCGAACAAGAGCAGCTCCACACTTCTAAACAACACCAAAAGAACCCCAAGTATGCTCTCTATTAACCAAGAACCACATTATCTCTTTGCCACAAGGCAAGTCACCTCCCCATGGGCTGGGACAGCTGGTGGAAAGCTCCCAACTGGCCCAGGACTGAATAGGACTAGAAATGAAAGAGGAAATAATTCGCTTCTGTATCCAGCTGAAATGAGAGCAGGGATCTGGGGAGATGAGATGGGATCTGGCTGCCACTGTGTCAAACTGCCTTGAAAATTCGCTTGCTTTTTAATTACCAACAAGCAAACCTCAGTTTTCTCTCCAAGGCAAGTCACAAACATCCCTCAAGGTGTCACCACACTGGCTTGACCTACCAGGGGCTGCTGTGCCCTTTGGTGTGCCCAGCTGAAGGATGGTTTTCCCTCTCCTTCCTGGGTGCTGTGGCTACACCACGGTGCCTGTGAAGGGAAGAGCACTCACCTGGAGCACTCACCCATCTCTCACTAGCAGAGCCTGTAGGACAGCACTCGGGTGCAGTCACACTCTGGGTACCAGCAAGGGGGGACAGAGCAGCTCAGTGCTGCCAACTCAGCAGCCACAACCACGTCCATCTGGCCCCGCTACCGCTGACCTCCCTTTCCAGCCCACCCCAAACCCAGAGTTACCCAACAATGTTATTCCCTGGGACAGCTGGGTCAGGAATGGGTCATTTACTGATAATCAGTTAGGACAGAAAGACAATGACCAGATGAGGGAAGCATCTGCCAGGGATATTCCATCCCTGGAGGAACCAGGGAGCAGGGCCCAGGGGCAGAGAGGAGAGAGGCCCCAGGGCAGAACAGTTCATGGAATACAGCAATCCCAGAACATAACAAACCAGAGCAATTTAAATAACAAAAAGCGTCCCTACTGCAGAGAGCTGAAGGGCTTCCAAGCTGGCTTCCCCATGCTCACCTGGAATCTCTGCAGCCCAGACCTCAATAGCTTGCACAGGGAAGCATGTGGGATGTCCATGCATCAGACCAAGCCCATTCGGTGCCAATTCAGAGTTGCACACCATACCTGTGCTGGGATGCTCCACCTAGGAACCACATCCAGCTCCCACACAGCCCTTGCTGAGTTTCCCTCTAAGCAATGGGGAAAGCACTTGTGTCTGTGGGGAGCACATACACTTAGCAACCTGCACCAACAACAGGGACAAGGCACAACTGGATAAGCCTTTGCAATGGGACAACTCTTTAGAGCGAGACCCTAGAGCACACAGTAGCTGTGCCAGCATCTTTAAGCTCTTGCAGATCTTTACAGCTGGAACAGAGATCTCAAACACCAGGCTACAGGGTCTGCATGCACTGAATGGGCACTACCTTGCACAGCACCACCATCATTTGCTCCCTTGGCATTTCAGCAGAGGACATCTATAGCCTGCAGACCCAGGTACATCCATGGGAAATGGCATGGCACTGAAAGAGCAGATAGATGCAGACGTGCCCTTTATCAGCACACGTGCACCAGGAGTCTGACCTCCAGAGGTGCCCAGGGCTGGGAAGAGTCAGGTTCTCCTGTGGCTAGGATCAGTATCATCAGGACTGCTCTGAGCTCACCCATCTCCACACAAGCAGGTCACAGCACCTCAGCCAAGCTGTCCTTGCCCCTCTGGGAGTCACAGCCCTGCCTGGTTTCAGGCTCCAGACCCTTTGCCTTCGCTGCTTCCCCACATCATCTCATAGCCTTCACACCTCCCTCCTGTGCTGCTGCAGCGCCTGCTCCGCTCCTCTCACTATCAGTGGCAGTTCCAGCTCAGGCGGGGGAAGATGCAGCAGCCTCTGGGGAGACAGCTGCACAGACAGCACAATGAATCTGCCTTCCTCAGTCACCATCCAGAAGCCTCCAAACAGCCCCCAGGGTTAACAGATCACAGGATGAAAGCCACTGATCCAGGAGAGAAACCACAGCCCACAGGTTCCTTTGCCCTCTTGCAAGCCCAAAGCATTCCACAACATCCCTGTGCCAAGCCTGTGCTTCCTCTTCTCACTCTGCCCCAACATGGACCACACACCCCACAGCGCCCAGTCTGACTTCCAGCACACCAGATAAAGGTTGGTGGCTGCTTCATCTTCCAAACCTCCCTGCCCAGGCAGAGCAAGTACCACTGCAGATGCAGGAGGGATTTCCATCAAGACACAGTCACCCATCAAAACAGAACAGAAGCCTTTTACATCCCAAAAGGCCATTAAAACTCACTGAGCACAAAATGGTTACACTCTGCTCCAGCCCCTGCAGCAGTGGTGATGACCACCCTGTCACACACTGGCATACCATGCTGCAGCCTCACCCCCAGTCTCCAAACTGTCTCAATGCACCCTAGGCAAAAAGCTCATGCAAAGGTCTGGTAGTCCCCGGGCACACACATGGGTCCTGTCGACCTTCACAACACACCAGGCAGGATAGGGAGAGCTGAGGGTGGCTGCAGGGTCATACAGAGGGAGGGATGCAGAGCTGGTTCCCAACAGTAGAACGTTATCCCCAAAACAAGACTGTACATCCAAAGCTTGGTAACCAGGGGTGGAAGCGAGCCCTGGCAGAGCACATCTTCCCTGCCAGCATCCCTGGCCCCATGAAGAACCCAGCACATGTGCTTGCTCTGCCTCTGCGCGGGCTGTGCTCGTGGGGATGACGAACAGCCTCTCCGTGCTGCTGGGATTACGTGTCTCAGCAGCCAGCACGGATGGGAAGCGGGTTCACCCACTGCAAGCAACGATGCCCCTTCCCCGCAGCCCCCATCCCTGCAGCAGGGCTGATGCTCCGCTGCTGCTCATCCAGGTATCTACAAAATGCCGGAGCTGCTTCCCACGCTGAGGCAGGGGAAGAAACTTTTGTGTGCTCTGATGTGCAGCTCATCGCCGGCAGCTTCCCCTTGAGGGCTTAATGTAGTTATTTCTACCCCTGATGCCTATAATTAAATGAACATTTCCTTATGGCACTGAAGAGGCCGAGGAAAAACTGACTACAGGGAATTTTCATGCATCCTGATTTATACTCCCTCATCACAGACTCATTCACACAATGCTAACAAGGACCTAAGCAAGCAGAAAAGGAAAAAAAGCCTTCAATAGCCCACATGCAGACAAGCACCTGGGGAGACAGCAAGAGGGAAGAGACCAAATCCCTCCCTTCTCCCTCTCCTTTCAACCACATCATTTTCCTATGTGCAAAAGCAAAGAGGCTCAGATACCCCAGAGCCTGGAGAGATGCTCTGCCAGCAGACCTGTGCTACCCAGCAGCCTGATGGGCCCTGATCCTGCTTCAGGCCATCCCACTCCCGATCCTGGGAAGCACCCAGGAATCGCACTCAGTCCCTCCAGCTCTCTCTCATAGGTTTTAACTATTCCCATCCTTCAGGACTGGAGCGCACTGAATTATCCCAGGCTGGACAAGATCCTAAACTGCTGAGCAGAGCTACTAACATAACAGGGCTTGATGCATACATTCCCAGCAGGCTGCATCTCCCCTTCTGACCTCCCGCACAGGCAGGGATCCAGGTGTCCAGGGATGTGCGGCCAACTGAGTCCAGCCTCCAGAGCTGCCACAAGCCCCAGCATCACCCATGCATTAGGAACTGAGCTGTCCCTCACCTCCACCCCTGCAGCTCTCTGTGCTAGGAGAGCAGACAGAGCCACAGGGGAAGCCAAGGACCCAAATCCTCCACATCATCACCAGCTGGGCAGCAGCACTAGAAAGTTTCCAGTAGCCTTATCAGAACAGGAAAAACACCCTCCCATCAGCACAGCATCATCGGCTGTGGTCCTTTTAAAGCCACCACGAGGTCCATCTCCCTCCTCCACAGAGCAAATGCAGCTTCCAAGTGATGGGGATAGAGCCAGCCCTTTCGGGTGGGGATACAGGAGCTCCCCATGCACCTTGCCCTCCCCTGAGGAGAAGCTCTGGCTGAAGGTGGGGACACGGGTCTCCCGCTGAGATGTGGCTAAAGGACCTTTGCCAGCCATGCCCAAGGTTTCCCCTAATGTGGAAAACCTGCCTGGAGGAAGCCACAAAACTGGCTCCCTGTTCCCCTTTGGCAAAGCTTCTTGCTTCTGTGCCATGGAGCATTGGCACAAACCCCAACAGGTTTTCTGATCCATTTTGCTCTTTAAGCTCACTATTGTTCGCAATCCTAAAAGGCTTTATCCCTCCTCTTTAGGGAGCCCCAGTCGACAGCTCGAGGCACCGTGCACACAGCTCACGGACAGAGCAGCTCCGAGGATGACACATTCCCCTGTGAAGGTTTTGGGGCGATGGGGGCAGTAAGAGATGTGCCGGGGGATGGATGTCACCGTATCACAGCTTGGTCGTGCTAGAAGCCAGCGGCTGGTTGGGAAAGCAGCCTTTCCCTCACTGCCAGGATGACTCAAGACAAAGACTCCCCCACTCTTTAAATGTCCCCGTTCTCAACTCCTGTTCCACGCTAAGCACAATCCTGGACAAAAGGGATAGGGAGGAAAAAAGCAGCCTCAGCCTCACGGGTCTTTGGGGGGATCCCTTTGTTGGCCAATTTCCCCAGCCTATTTATAAATAGAACCAGAGCCTTCACAACCATTCCAAACACAATTATCCCCGCACTCCTTTGCTTTCCCCTGGCACCCCACCTCGCCTCCCAATTACACGAGGAGGCTCTTGGGGAAACGCGGAGCAATTTGCGGTTCTCCCCTTCCTTTGTGCCAGTTTCGCGGTAGTTCGCAAAATCACCACGACGCCAGACGGAGGCATCAGTGCAAGGGAAGGCGGGTTCGGGGCAGCCCTGGCCAGGGTGATGCCCGTCCTCACCCCGCAGGGACCAGCGCTCTGTGCCCCATCCCCGAAGCAGGAGCCCCGCGGGGTGAAGCCCACCCGCACCCGTCCATACCGGGAGCCCGGGGTTCTGCTGTCACCGCCCGGGGGTCCCGGCGCTGGCACCGGCCATTCCGAAGGGTCCCATGTCCCGTTAGCGTCAGCGCCTGGTACCCACGGAGAGCTCCGGGGTGGGAGATGGGGACCCCGCACAGGTCCCGGGGTCACCGGCGGGGTGGGGGGGATGCGATGGGGACCCGCCTCCCGCGGGGGTCCCGGGGAGCGGACACACGGCGGGCCGCGGCTCCCCGGGGATGGGGTCGAGAGGGGGAGACCTGACCCCCGCGGGTATCCCGGTGCCCAGGGAAGGGACCGACACCCGCTGCGCCCCAACCCGCAGGGATGGCGGCGACCCCAACCCCAGCAGCCCTCACTCACCGGCGGCCAGAAGCAGCAGCAGCAGCAACGCCGGGGCCCGGTGCGACGGCTGCATGGCGGCGGCCGCTGCCCTGCCGCGCCGCCTCTTCACGGGGAGCGGGGCCGCCCCGCCGCCCGCCGGGCTCTGCCCCTCGCCGCCGCGCCCGCCCGCCGCCCGGCCCCGCACCGCATCCCGGCGCCGCCTCCTCCCACCGCCGGTGCCCGCCGCGCCGGGGGCGGGGAAGCAGCGCGGAGGGGTGGGGGGGGAATCTGCGGCTCACTGCGGCCCAGCCCCGGTACCGGTGCCCCCTCTCCCGCCGCCACGGGCGTCCCGCGGCGCCCACAACGAGTGCCGGCGGCGCGGCTGCGTGCGCGGCCGGGGGTGATCAGCCCCCTGGGGGGAAGCGGCAGCGCCGAACCCCTCCCCGCCCGCGGCGCCCCCTCCGCCGGCTGAGGCGGGGGCTGGAGCCAAGCGGCCCCGGGGAGGCAGGGCCCGGTCAGGCGGAACAGGGGGGTCCGGGAGGGAGGGAGCGCAGACCCTCAGCACCCATGTTCTGAGCGCCCCTCGGCCCGTAGCGCTGATGGGTACCCCCCAGCCGCTGCCTCACCTCAGGAGAGGCCCAGCATCGATGCTGGAAGGTAGTGAGAGACAGAGCCTTGGGTGCCATGGTTTAGTGTGAGGTGTCCCTGCCCATGACGGGGGGTTGGAACTGGATGATCTTAAGGTCCTTTCCAACCCGAACCATTCTATGGTTCTGTAACCTGGAGAAGCTTCTCCCACAGCACAGCTCCATTTCCCACCCCTGGAAGTCACCCAGTCCACCCGCCCTACTCCAACCTACAGCAGGCTGCCCAGGACCACAGCTTCTGAGGATCTCCAGTGTTGGAGATACAGCCTCTCTGGGTAATCTGTGCCAGTGTTGAGCCATCCGCATCCTAAAACAGCATTCAGATGCAACCTCCGATGTTCCAGTTTGTGCCCATACCCTCCGGTCCTGTCATTGAGCACCCCTGGCTCCATCATCTTTGAACCTTTCAAGTCCCTTCCTGCCAAGCTGCTTTCCACCTGGGTGCTCCCATCAGATGCTGGGCGTGAGATTGTTCCTCCCCAAATACAGCACCTTAAATGCGTCATTGAACCCCATGAGGCTCCTGCCACAGTCCCTCTGGGTGACTGCCCCTCTGGTTCCTCAGCCATTCCTCACTGTTGTGTCATCAGCATTAACAAAGGGTTTAACCAGGACTGGACCCACTATTGACCCTGGGGTACACCTCTAGTCATTGCCCTCCAACCAGACTTTATGCCACTGTTCTCTGGGCCTGGCCATTCCATGAAATGCCCATCCAATTCCCATTCCTTATGGCATATATAGGTAGATAAGCGTATTTGGCACGCTTAAATATGGTATATTTGGGCAGATAAGCTGCAGTACAGGTGCTGTGAATGTGAGGAGTGGTCTCTGGGGTTGCAGTGCTTGTTTGGGGAAGAAATCCCCACCCTCATTTTACCCTCCTATAGCAATCATTAGTTAAGGACATAGGGATGTGTGTTTGGTCTCACCACTTAACAAATGTTCTTGTTTGGGCTGATTTAGAACCTGAGAGGCTCCTCCAGCTGTTGCTTTTCCAGCTCTTCACCTATTTCTCAGGCCTTGTCAACAGGAGGAAGGCCCATATTGACTTGAGAGAAGACATCTGGTCCTCTTGTTGCAGCCTTCCTTATCTTGAGAGTCTGTAGCCTTGTCCATGACCATGGTTTTATACACAACAAAACACTTGTGTAATTCGGTATCATTGTCACTCCAGCAGGTATCAAGCACGTCTATCCCTGACAGAGGAAGAAGTCCTTAGAGGGAGCGGGAGCTTTCCTCTTGATGTCAAAAGCTTCCATCTTTCAGAGGCTGCCTTTACCTTAGTGTCAGGGGTGGGCATTGCCTGCACATCAGTTCAGGTTGGGAGCCTTTCATAGAATCCTAGAATAGGGTTGGAAAGGACCTTAAGATCATCCAGTTCCAACCCCCCTGCCATTGGCAGGGACACCTCACACTAAACCATGGCACCCAAGGCCTCGTCCAACCTGGCCTTGAACACTGCCAGGGATGGAGCATTCACAACTTTCAAGTTGCTTCATCTCAGACAAGACCCTATCCATCTTTCATCACCTTCCCTTACACTGCACAGCCTGCTCACATCCTCCTGTAACTCCTGCACTGAGTGACACAGCTCCTCCAAGAGAGCACACATCCCACAGGACAGAGGGGCCCTTCTCCTGGGGCTTGGAGAGCAGCATCTGCTGTCAGGAGCAGGGTCTCTGTTGGAACCTCTATGCCCTATAGTAGGGACAGCTCCTCCGACACCATTCTGTGGTGTCACCACCGTATCTGAGACTGTCACAGTGATACCATTCAGCTGCTGCTCCCTTCTTCCGGCCCTTCTGTGCCAACTGCCTGGAAAACAGAATAAAACAAAAGAAATAAAGGATTTCATCGTGCAGCAGTTGTTGGATCTGCAGCTCTCGGAGAAGTGCAGCATTCACGCTGTGTGTGACAGAGGCAGGTAACAGTGATGCTGCACTTATCACCCAATGCAGCAAGGCAAAGCTGACAGCCTTAAACCAAAGCCCTCGCTTTTGGCTTCTTTTGGACCACATCCTTCCAGGGCTCTGAAAGTCCTTTTTATCCCCGAATCAATGCAGCCCCCGGCCCCCACCAAGCAGGAAATGCAGCAGGAACTGCCGAGCTGCCGCTTACCCCTTAGATGAGATAAAAACCACTTCAGTGCTCTCAGATTCTAGCCCAGGCATGGCATTTAATGAATGCTCTTGTCATTTTTCACTTTGCTGCTGGTAATTTGGCTGTCTTAACATGCAGGTGGCTTACGACAAGTGGGTAACTAAAAGCCTTTCAGATCCCCTGACCCTGCCACATCCAGCTCCCAAGTCTTAGAAACTGAATCCAGTGTCTGAAGCAGCCTAATCACATCAAAGAAAGCACAAAACCACCCTCATGTATTACATGGCCTCGAAGCAGAGGGAAGGAAACCACACGGGCAGGGCAGCGAGCACGCTTTCTATGAGGCTCACGGTCCTGCCTGGATTTATTTTGACGTTAGGCATCAATCTCAGACGGAGCAACAAAGGGGGAGGATGAAAGGAGAAGGTACATCTTGGACAAGAAAATTACACTAAATTAGTGGCACCATCGATCAGGCGGGTCAGTGCTGCCAGCAGAGCAGAAAACAGCCAGCAGAGATGGGCAAAACCCATCCTGCTTCAAACCAGCACAAACGTAAATCCAGTACAGCTCTCGCCTCTCCTTTGTACGCTCCCTGGAATAGGGACAGCTGGCTTGGCTCTCTTCTGGGCTATTGACAGCTTTACAGTCAAAGGCGTGTATAGTGAAAAGCTTGTAATTTCTCATTTGAGCTCCTCCAGCCTCCCTACCTGGGGTGTACTCCCCAGTGCTGCTCAGAGCCCTGGTAAAAGGGGCTTTACAATTGCACTAAATGCTTTTTGATAGTGCTTCAAAGCCACTCACAATTTCCCTGGGTATTACCATGATCCGTGCTTGCCTCTCCTTCACCCAAATGGTCCCATTTCACAGCTACACCCGTTAGGCAGAAGCTGAAAGCAAGCACGCATTGAGGCTGGCAAAGCTGGCAATCCTCCTGCCGTCTCCCCCTGCAAGGTACCATAACTGCCTTTGCTGTCAGGAAACACAGCCAGCTTCGGTTGCTGTTTGAGGGTCACATTGTGTTCTAAGCCACTTGCAAACAGTCGGTGAGGTGGAGGAATGAGGCAATAGCTCAGGGAAAGAACTTGGTGCCTAGGACTTGTTAATTGCAAAGATGTTAACCACTGACCCATCTCAACAGAAACGGAACGGCTTCTGAAGCACCAGGTAACAAAAAGCAGCATCACATGAAGCAGAAACCTGCTGGTGAAATGTTTTATTCTCCCAAATGCAGCAAAACTGAATTCACCTACAAAGGGATCTATTGCCCTTACTCAGCAGAGCAGGAAAGCAAACAACAAGCAAAACAATTCAGCAGTCAAATGTCAAGTTCTTTTGGGAGAGAAAAGGCTCAAGGAAGACCTTGTAACACTCCTCCAACACCTAACCAGGGCCGTTACAGGAAACCTGGAGAGGGGCTTGGGACAAAGGCCTGTAGGGACAGGCTTGAACCTGCCAGAGGGGAGACTGAGCTGAGCTCTTAGGCAGAAGCTCTTCCCTGTGAGGGTGCTGAGGCGCTGGCACAGGGTGCCCAGAGAAGCTGTGGCTGCCCCATCCCTGGCAGTGCTCAAGGCCAGGTTGGACACAGGGGCTTGGAGCAAGCTGCTCCAGTGGAAGGGGTCCCTGCCCGTGGCAGGGGTTGGAGATGGAGGAGCTTTGAGGTCCCTTCAACCCAAACCAGGCTGGGATTCTATGATTCTTGTAGTGTTAGAAAGTACAAATGTCACCAGTACCACAAGAAGAGTTTAACCCTTTTTTCCTTTGCATGCCAACAACCATGACAGGACGTGAACTATGCCCCTTCATACATCCAAAGGAAAAAGCCTGCTCTCAAGCTCTGTTCATCACCTGGATGCTTCTTTGGGACAGAGGACGGGTGACACAGCAGGCTCATGGCACTGTGCAATTTAACTCCATTGGCCCTGAAGCTGCACAGCCTTTTGGCATCCCCAAGAAGAAGAAAGCTTAAGAATTCCACTGCTTGGCTTGGCTCCTCCTTCCTTAGGCACAAGGGAAGAATTAACCTCTCCCTTGTTCCAGCAGAAGTGAATTTACTCCAGAGTCTCCACAAGTTTCTTATCAGCTTATTGGCTGACTTTGCCTTCTTAATGCTGGGACATCAAACTGTTTTGACTGTACCAAGCAGGGGCAGGTACCTGCTCTATTCTTGCACAGCCCAGGCACACAGCCATTCTCTGGGCAAAACACACAGACTCTGCTCTCATCCAAAACCCTGCTGGGGAAGATGTATAATAAACACTGCAAGAGAAGGGACCTGGAGCAGTTAATGCCTTCCAGGATACACTGTAATTAGAAGGGAACAGAACCTGCTCTATTTCAGGCACAGGAGCAATATCCTCTGTATCACTTTGAGCATCTCCGTCTCCCTGAACCAGCTTGCTCCCCTCCAGGGAGAAAAATGACAAGAGCCC